CGTTCCATGTTCCTACACAGACTTTTTCTTTTGGTGCAAGGAGGTTCAGCATACTGAAGTTCTGTAGCAATTTTTGTTTACAGGGTGGGGTTGCTAGCCTCACGCCTGAGAAAAGAATGATTACATTAAGTAAAAGTTTAGAGAGAAGCAACTTTTTGGGTTGCTCCCCTCAAAATCAGAAAATAACGGACAAACAATGAGAACAACATCAACAAAGGAAACAGTTCACAGAAAAAAGGGCAAAAAGCGACGACAACTATACAATAAGACAACATGCAATATAGTTCAGTACATGTAACTAAAATGATATCTTAACCATAAACTCACTGACTTGGAGCAACTTGAACATATAAATCCAACAATATATACAATTATAGATGTGTTTATGTTTAAAAATTCCACAAATCCAAACAGTGAGTTATGTGTATTATCTGTCAATAAGATTGTATTTTTTGGATTCAGTGTTCGAAAGGTTAATAATTGTGATAATTTCCGCAAACACTTTGCATAAAATTTTAGAGTAATAAGATATTTTATTTATGACCAAAATGTAGCGTAATAGTCGAAAAGCGCGCGTGTGCGTCGGTTGCACAGTGGTTAGGACTCTCGCCGACCATGCACATGGTCCGGGGTTCGAGCCCACGCCGGCGCACACCTTGATATCTATGGTCGGCCTGCAAAATTTGGGCTACCGATATCCATGCTGAAAATTCCATACTTGTACCAAAAATACAGTGTGTAATCAAGCTGTAAATCCAAAAAAAAAAAATAATAGCTTCATCTAAAACAGCATGTTTACATTACCATTATATACATACATTTATTTATTATTTTTTAACTTGAACTGCCTGTGTAAAAACTATATAAGCGCAATTTTCTGAGCACTGTTTACTAGTTGTGAAACTTTCTGTCAACATGAAAAATTTGCAAGTACGTTAAAACGTTTCTGTACTTAAACCTGAAAATTTATTTAGGCTGTAAGCAGCTGACGAGAAGCCAACGAAATAAATGATGGTACCATGTTATTCTGCACAAATCAATGTTGTTCTCGCTTTATTCAAATTTGAATAAAAGTCAATATATGATAATGTACATTCAGAAATTCATCTGATTACGTAATGCCGAAAGTTTCCATTGTGTATGACTATTATTGTTCCGAATAGTGCTCAATATTATATATGCGTCGGTGGCACAGTGGTTAGGACTCTCGCCGACCATGCACATGGTCCGAGGTTCGACCCCCTGCCGACGCACACCTGATATCTATGGTCGGCCTGCGAAATTTGGGCTACCGATATTCATGCTGAAAATTCCATACTTGTACCGAAAATACGGTGTGGAATCAAGCTGTAATCAAAAATCAAAAATTTATATATATATATATATATATGTTAAAATTGTTTCTGAAGATATACTTAATAATGACTTTGTCTGTAAACAGCTGATGAGAAGGCAACGAAATAAACAATGATGGTACCATTTTATTCTGAAAAAAAACCCACTGTTGTTCTTGTTTTATTCAAAATAACATTAGTGTTAACAATAAAATGCAATCAGATGGGAAATAAGGTGTTTTTGTAGTAAAATAAAAAAGTAACTTGTCAGAATGTTATAATGTATGTGAATTAAATACATTTTAGCAGTATTTATTACCCTCTGATTTGAATGGTAATAATATCTTCCATCTATATTTCTGGTACTTGCGTTGAGTCATTTCTGTTGCATGTGCTAGTTGTGTAGACTCAATGAACCAGTATTCAGTAATCAATCTCTCTGTCCAAACAGATACCTATATTACTTGTTAGAATTTTAACCGTCTCCCACCATGCTATTGTGTGATTGTGTATTAATGCATGCTGTGCAATCGCTAAACTTTTTCCAAATTACTTATCTTCGCAGTTGGGGTCAAACATTCTTACCTCAGCTAAATTCTTATGTTCTGACAATCTGACTACCCCCGACCTACTATTTTGACCTATTTAGTTAACTTAGCCCACATTCGTTGCAGGGCATTTTGTAAATTATGTTATTTTGTCTAATTGTGTCCATCGGGTCCTTTAGCCTGCACAGCTTGTCCAACCTGAGTGAATTTGTAGGTTTGAATGTCACTCTAATTCCTGCCTTATTGGGAATCCTATGTGGAGACTCAGATATCCCCTCCTCATTTGGTAAAACTGTCAATGCCTTATATTCTCTTATTTATGTTATCATTATTAGTTTTCCCATTATTTCTATTTTGCTTTTGACGTTTTTTGATATTCGTAATGAATTTTATAGGATAGTTAAGTTGTTTGACACTAACGCCTCTTCTTTCTGTTTTATTTCATCGTTTAGGTCGTTCTTGTGCTACTTAGTGCTACTGCTCGGTTTGTTAGACACTTAACTAAGCCTGCTTTTACGGATAACAACGGATGAGGTGAATTAAAGTCTAAATATCTATTAGCAGAATGCGTTGGTTGTTTATAAACGCTAGTGTGCAGTTTACCTTCTTCCGTTCGTTTTATTTTACAATCTGACATAGCTGATTCTCCTTGTTCATTTTCTGATTCAAATGTGAATTTTATTCCCTCTACTTGTGAGTTTATGTCTGTCAAGAATCTGGAGATATAATACAGGAGATTTGTAGCTCAGGTGAATGATTCCGAACTAGTTGTATTCTGTAAGCTGGTTGCTTTAATTGCATGACAAGAAAGTTTAAATCCCAAATCAATAAAAAAATGATCAATACGGATGTAAATTGACTGCCAGTCATGAAGTTAGTTGACAGGAGACACAGTTGTATCATTCATGGATAATTCCAAATGAGTTCATTTTATGCTAAAACATGCTGTGAAGATGTCTATAAGAGGGAAAACGAAAGCTTCGCAATTAAACCAAGCAGCTGAGAGGAGAACACAATTAATTCCAAGCTAGAGATATGTTCTGTTTTTAGCACTATGAAAGTGTCATTCATATATCTCCACCATATCTTTTGAGTAGGATTAAATTTACTAAGAGCAATATGGATATGATTTTTTTCTTCCTTCACGTTCCCAGTGGAACATAGGGCTCCAAGCTATAGGCTTGAAGATTCCGTAGCAGTGTTGATTTTTACAGGATGGGGTTGCTAGCCTCATGCCCAAACTTTCCTCTTTACTAGCATTATTTCTGGCTTAGCTAGGTAAAGGAGTGCGTCGGCAGGCGATTGAACCCCGGACCATGTGCATGGTCCGCGAGTGTCTTAACCGCTGTGCCACCGACGCAGAATATGGATATGATTACGAGCAACGAATTGTGCTCGAAAGGTGGTCATCAGTAAATATTACTGTATTACACCGTGATTTTATCAAAATACAATTTTATCTATAGTGGAGTTATACTCTACCATATTGCACAAGTTTTATTGTTATATCTCAATACTCAAAAGAGTGTAATGACTGAAGACAAGGGTCAGGAAACAGATTGCTTACTGAGAAAATCAACAGATATTTCTAGATTTTTATGTACATTATTATTAGTGTTATTGTTAGCAGAGAAGCAACGTCTTCCAATTGGTTGTTTTCTTGCTGAAGGTTATTCCGTTATCTCTTTGTGACCGTTTCTCAGAAAGTTAGGCCACATATCTGCGAATCATATTTGCAGACGTTAAGTCTTCTGTGATTGTTTGGTGAGTTCCTCAAAGTTAAGCTTTGTTGGTGTTTTTTCTCATGACCCCAATTTAGGAGGTAAACATTGACGTAAATTGCTGTGTATAATTTTGGCTTGCAGCTAGCTCTCACCACAGAAGTAATTACTGTCATCTATCCGAAAACTGCTTTGCAAATAGTTGGTATTAGATGGTTGGAGACAATCGGCAGGAAGCCTTGGACCTAGGTTTCGTGATAGTTGGCACTCATCAGCAGGGCGTATCTGGAACCTCGAAGAAACTCATGTCCCTTCTGAGATTCGAACCCACGTCACCCAGTGAGTGATGCAGTCAGAGACGTTACCACTGAGCTATTCGGGCACGTTGACCGCCCCAACGGGTTGATCTTTGACGAAATCTCAGCACGGATACAGAGGGCTATTTTCGCATATTCCAGTTTACGCCGTCTCTGGTTTAGTAGACGTGATATCCGGCTGGCTATCGATCAAAAGGCCTGTGTACTGCTCATAAGTCTACTCCATGCTCCTTTATGGCTGTGAGACCTGGCCATTGAGAGTGGAAGACATGAAAAGGCTAGCTGTCTTTGATCATAGGTGCCTGCGTTCTATCTCCCGTGTTAAGTGGTATAATACGGTGAGCAATATTGAGGTTAGGCGTCGAGTTCTAGGTAAACTGGGGAAATCAATCGATGAGGTTGTAAAGTTAAATAGACTGAGATGTTTAGGACATGTGTTACGTGTGCCAAGCCATCGCCTCCCTCGACGAGCAATGTTAGCGGATATAGGGTTAGGCTGGAAAAAAGCTAACGGAGGTCAAACAAAAACATGGCACCAGTCAATGAAATCTACAGCAGTTAGTCTAAGTCACGTAGGAAGGTGTAGACTTCCTGACTGGTTGAGGTCCTCGAGTCGGTAAAAACCAATAGTTGGAAACAATTGGTGAAATGGTTCAAAATCGTTCTCAATAGCTGGCTGGCGCAGATGCATCCACTCCTTGTGACCTATGATTTCCAATGAAACTGTTTTGTTCTTCGTTATTACTATTCCTTTGTCTCACACCTCTGTTTACTGTCTCTTTTATGCATTTCTTCTACTTTCTTCTCTTGTTTTGTGTGCTACATGGAGTGTGGCGACTTGAACTTCCGCACATTTGTGCAATGTTCTATGTCAAAAACAGAGAAACAGATTTGGGCTGTCGATTGACCTCCTGTAGGACTGTAATAGATATTTTCTAATTGAACACTTTTCAGTAGCTGGTGTAATGTGTGTAATCCTTTGTTTGGTTCAGACTAAATTCTATCAGTCAAGCTTGCTCTGCAAACACATTTGTCTTCGTATCATCATTGCATTTTATGCTATCTATTCTGACATTTCAGGACAACATTATCAAATTGGATGCAATTACTAATACTCAAGTGGATACTGATAACGCGGAAGTACAGTTTACTTCCGAGGTGAGCAAAATAACTTTATCTCTCACTATATTGGTAAATATTTCCTTGTATTGCTTTATGCAATGAACATTAGCAAACTGATAAACATTAAACAAAGAGGTTCAGTGATAAGTTTTATTACTTTAACATTTGTTTTCTCAGCTATTGAGGTCTTTACTTGAAGATTCCAAATACGTCTTGCTGTTAAGTGCGGCAGAGCATGTGACAGGCATGCATGCAGTTATCTGTCTGTTGTCCATAACCATCTGTTATTGATTTCGGGATCAATCAGGAATTCACTTCAGCTGGAGAATCACTGAAAGCTAGGGAGTACTGCACACCTGTTTCGTCCTTGTTTGCGACTCTTCAGATGCACACGCCCATGACCTAATTAAGGATCCAACCCAGAACCTAGTTACAAGGCGAATTCGTTAACCACCATCGATTCTAACTTCTGGCAATTCTTCACTGCCAACGAATGTCATGGGCAAGCATTTGTCCTCACACAGGACTTGTTGAACCCTGTTGGTCACGCCTTCCCACTGGAAATGCTGGCAGCATCGTTCTTCAATCAGACACAAGTGAGTAGTATATCCCGTCGCTGTAGATGAATGGTTGACGGGCAAGTCTTCCAACCTAAAAGTTCTGAGTTTGACCCCTGAAGAGGTCATAGGTGCGTGTTATGAAGAGTTCTAAATGAGGACGAAACAACTGTGTAGCACTTCTTGGTTTTTGCTGATTCTTTAACTAAATCGATTTCGTGATCAGTTGTAACACTTGAAAATGTTTACTATCGTCTTTTTGTTAATCTATCACTTCAAAAATATTTGATGTATTACGGTATCTTAGTTATCAACAATATGCACATAATTTAAAAGATTTGTAGAGTTTGGGGCAGGAAAATTGACAAGTCACTTCAAGGTTATAAAAGGTGTCAGGTGAGTGAGCGGCTAGTAAAAAGTGGTCTGTATTAAACAGGAGATAGTAAGACTACAATGAGAAAATTCATAATGAAATAACGAATGTGTGAAATGAAACAGGCGGAGGTAGGCATATATTGAGAAAAGAGATAATATCACTAATAATAAGTCCGGATAGTATCAATGAAAAATTCGATAGTAATGAGGGAATGTTAACACGAAGGGCGGCATAAATTATGACGAACAATAATAATAATAATAATTGTAATAATAAGCAGAGAAAAAAACCAAGAGGTTTAAGGGGAAGAATCACTCTTGGTAATAAGAAGAATCATCAATCCACGTTTGGCCATGGTAGGAACAATGTTTGGACGTGTTCTTTTTGGATACAAAGTTCTGGTTTAGTTGATCTGATTGCAACAGCTTCAGCCATGTGTAGGAGACGTAAGCAAACTGTACATGATAATGGTTTCAGAATTCGGGAAGTAACCCTGAAAGTTGTGTTGGCGTCGACATGATGTCCAATATCAACCAAATGTGACAAGATCGAGCTTTTTATGCATTTAATCCCCCCCCTCCACACACACACACACTGAACGCAGCTGGTAAATGTTCTCTAACCCGAAGACAAACCTGCCTAATCGTGCGTCCTATAACTTGAACTACAGAAACAGTTAAAATGGTATATGCATGAAGAAGAGCTAAGGTTAGGTAAGATATCTTTGAGTTGCTGCGTAGAGAATGAACTTCAGATCATTGGAGACATCCTAAGCGAGAACGGATATCCAGACAAGTTCATTAAAGCCAACATAGGTTACCATAACCGTAAACATAAACTGGCAGCGGTGGGGAAAAAGCCTCTGTTTTTACGTCTCCAATTCAAGGGAGATACTCCTGCGGAGATCCTATCGCAACGTTTAACCAGGGTGATCAAAATACTTTCTACTCTGCACGTCTGTGTATATTCTTCAGTAGCTGTCCAATGTTCACCCAGCAACTTAGTGATCGCTTACGTCTCCTACACATAGCTGTGCGTCGGTGGCACAGTGGTTAGGACTCTCGCCGACCATGCACATGGTCCTGAGGTTCGATCCCCTGCCGACGCACACCTGATATCTATGGTCGGCCTGCAAAATTTAGGCTACCGATATCCATGCTGAAAATTCCATACTTGTACCAAAAATACAGTGTTGAATCAAGCTGTAATCAAAAATAAAAACAAATAAATGAAGCTGTTGCAATAAGATAGACTAAACTGGAACTTGGTATCCAAAAAAACACCTTCACACGCTGTTCCTACGTGGCCAATTTCGGATTGATGATTCTTCTTATTACCAAGAGTGATTCTTCCCCTTAAACCTCTTGGTTTTTTTCTCTGCTTATTATTACAATTATTATTATTATTATTGTTCGTCATAATTTATGCCGCCCTTCGTGTTAACATTCCCTCATTACTATCGAATTTTTCATTGATACTATCCGGACTTATTATTAGTGATATTATCTCTTTTATTATGACCCACCATTATTATCACCACCATTAACGTCTCCCATTTTATAATAATTTGTAATCGATTTCAGCCTAGCAGAACGTTTTCCACTCAAATAATTTACAAGCCCAGTAGTAATAAGCGCACAAATACACACCTCAACGTAATTGGTTAGTGTGAATGACACATACTGTGATCACTGATAATACTATCCAGTTGTCCAGATTAGGCTAGATAGGGTAGTGGGATTTGAATCATAAGTTCATCGGCATACTTCAAATTGAAGTATGCGCTGAAGATGTCACCCGGTAGGGTGATGAAAGCTTCGCAAACTAACCATCCAGCTCGGAGAACAAAACCACATCAGAATGTTTAAGTCAGTCAGCCACCTGTCAGTCATTAGTTTCTAACGTTCAACAATCGTTATATTTCTTGACCTAAGGGCAGCAATAGATTCTGTCGACCGAGAGGTACTCTCACGATGCTCGACTGTAAAAGGAATGTTGAGAAAATACATTGCACTGATCAAGTCACTCACTCTACTCGAACTTATGCAGTCAGCCAGGTGACAGCTTACGACGAGTTGTCATCTTAAGTGGTGACAACTAGTGGTGTCTGCCAGGGATGCTCACTATCCCCATTTCTATTTAATTTCATCATAGATGTACTAATGGAGTTAATCCTAGGTCACCTCAGGGACTCAGAGATTGACTTGTTACCGTCAGGGAATAATCTCGTTGATTTAGAATATGCAAATGATATAGTCCTTCTTGGTGAGGACGCTGACAAAATGCAGAGTCTTCTGAACACCTTGAGCTGCAATCTGCGAATGCTTGGTATGCGATTTGCTCCCCTTGTGAAGTGTAAGAGGATGTTAGAGGACTGGACTACACTGACTCATAGCTTGCAGATAGAAAGTGAACTGGTTGATGGAGCGTGTTGACCACTTCACTTATTTAGGAAGTTGCATCAGTCAGTGCCAACGGGTTGATCGCTGACAAAATCTCAGGACGCATACAGAAGGCTCGTTTCACATATTCCAGTTTACGCCGTGTCTGGCGTAGACGTAGTCATGATATCCAGTTTACTGCTCAGAAGTCCGCTCCGTCCCCCTTTATGACTGTAACTGAGACCTGACCATTGAGAGTGGAAGACATGAAAGGCAAGGCTAGCTGTCTTAGATCATAGATGTCTGCCTTCTGTCTCCGGTGTGTGTGTGTGTGTTGAGTGGTATAATAGGGTGAGCAATATTGAGGTGAGGCATCCATCGAGTGTTAGGTAGGTGTGAAGGGAAATCAATACACGAGGCTGTGAAGTTCCATCAACTGAGATCGTTAGGACATGTGTTACGTATGCCTAGCCATCGCTTTCTTCGACGATCAATGTTAGCTTACATGGGGTCAAAATCGTAAAGAGCTAGCGATAGTTAAACCAAAACATGGCTTGATTAGTCAATGAAATCCACAACAGTTAGTTTGAGTTACGTAGGAAGATGTAGACTTCCTGGTTGGGGTCCTAGAGATCATAAAAACTAATGAAGGCTGGAGACAATCTGTGATATGTCTTAAAATCGTTGTCAATGGTTGGTGCAGATGCATCCACTCCTTGTGACTTATAGTATCCAATAAAACTATATTGTTCTTCTATATCACTATTGTTTTTGTCTCATATCACTGTTTACTGTCTCTATTTTGCATTCCTTTTTACTTTCTTCTTTTGCGTTGTGTGTTAAATGGAGTGTGGCAACTCGAACTGCTGTACGTTTGTGCAATGTTCTATGTTGAAAACAGACAGACAGACAGACTGACAGTTCCTAATCGTGATAAAACCTCTATTCAGTGGTATTTGATTCTCAATGTTGATAGTTGATAATGCCCGACCGAAAGCTGCTACCTTGACGTGGTGGTCGGGCTTGAACACCTCAATAACCTAATCAAGCTATACTGGCTGAGACTTATGTCTCTTGAGGTTCTACCATGCCAGGCAGGTTGTTTGGAAAGCGGTTAAACAAAAAGCAGCTACCTCATCCAATACCATGATCCAAACAAATTCACAAAATTTCATGCCGGATCGGCCGTGGCCCGGATTAACAACGACCGCGCTTCCTGCTGCCGTGTCACAGGGCGGGAGTGATAAGTATGCTACTGAGGCACACAAAACAACAAAGAACGAACAAAAACAGGCCGCGTGTGACCGGCCACAAGCAGTTGTCCCCTGGGCTCTGCGGTCACGCAACCAACTTCCACGGTGTGGGCAGCCGGGAAGTAACAATCGCCCTCACAATCCAAAACGCACACAAAACCTCTCTAATCCTCGCTTATCTTTGTCTTCATCTTCATCTCTGTTACCTTGCCTTCCTCCAACTGATGCAACTCCTCTACTTGATGGCTCCTCACTCCCTCTTCACTCTGTGTCCACTAAAAACGACGAAAGCCAAAAAACCACCACGGATAGTCTCCTAAAGCCACGCCACCAATTTCATATAGGAGCATTTAATGTTAGGACACTTTGCCAAATAGGACAACAAGCATCACTAGCTAAGACCCTGGCATCTCGAGCCATTGATGTATGTTGTGTTTCAGAAACACGCATACAAGACCCAAGTGTGGTTATTCACCTAACCCCACCTGGCCAACAGGATGAATCTTCAAAATTCACCTTGAGGGTGTCAGGAGATGCCACAGCTAGTTCACGAGGATTAGCTGGCGTAGGGATAGCTCTGAGTACTAAGGCAGAAAAGACATTGCTTGACTGGATCCCGGTAGATAGCCGAATGTGTGCTGTCCGTCTGAACGGATCAGTAAGAAGGAGAAAGGACTGCACTACTCGCCGATGCCTTTTCGTAATCTCCGCCTACGCCCCCACTGACTGCAGTTCGGATGAAACGAAGGATGAGTTCTACCAAAAGCTGTCTAGTTTGGTGAGAAAGGCTAAACGCTCAGATATAGTCGTTCTAGCTGGTGACTTTAACGCTCAAGTAGGGAAATTGTGTCAATCTGAGAAGGATGTCGGTGGCACCTATGGAGTTCCGTGCCAGCGAACCGACAACGGTGACCGTCTCCTACAGTTCTGTTCAGATAATCATTTGTTTCTTGTAAGCACTAACTTTAAACACAAGGAGAGACACTGTTTAACCTGGCGACCCCCATCATCAAACCAACGCTGGACACAAATAGACCACATAGCAATAAGCTATCGTTGGCGTGGGTCGGTAGGAGATTGTCGCTCCTTCTGGAACACGTGTGTAGATACCGATCACGCACTGGTCCGGGCTCGTGTGTGCTTACGACTGAACGGACGTAGGAAACAGCTGGCGGTAAAACCATCACGTCCCCAGCTCGATCAGGAAACTAAATCCCTATTTGAGGAAGAACTAGCTAAACGCATATCTGAATTCGACAGCTGTGCTCACCCTGGAGAAGCCTGGAAGAATATTCAGTCAGCCATAGATACAGCTGTAAAAGCTGTGAATAAGGTAAATCCAAAGGTGAGTAAAAACCACTGGATTTCGACTGCCTCATCCGAACTGATAGATGCTAGAAGACTTATTCCGGCGAGCTCCGAATTCAATGAGGAGCGAAAGCTGCACAAAAGGAAACTTACTAAAAGTCTCCGCAAGGACCGTGAACAGTGGTGGGTGACAAAGGCGAAAGAGATGGAAAAAGCATTGGCGATAGGCAACACTAGGCAACTCTTTAGACTCATCACAGAATCGGGCGGGAGAAGGCAATTCATAAGTGAGACTATTTCTGAGAAAAATGGCTCCTTAATTAGCTCTCAGGATAGACGCCTTGAACGCTGGAAAGAACACTTTGAGGAACAATTTAACTTGCCTACAGCCACACTGAACCTCCCCGACATCCACCACACACCCGAATGGGATATAGACACTGGTCCGCCGTCTGTAGGTGAGGTTACAAAAGCTATCAGTAATTTGAAACGAGGCAAAGCGGCAGGACCCGACGGAATTATTCCGGAGGTGTTTAAATATGGGGGTGACATACTAGTTTGTAGATTAACTGAGGTACTAGGCAAAGTCTGGGAATCAGAGACAGTTCCATCAGACTGGGGTAAGTCACTTATTATACCGATATTCAAGAAGGGAAACAAGTCCTCGTGTGATAATCATAGGGGGATCAGCCTAACGAACATAGTCTCTAAAATCCTAGGCTCAGTAATCATGCATAGACTAAGCAGAACTCGGGAGGAACAGACAAGGGAAAATCAAGCAGGCTTTAGACCAGGTAGAGGGTGCATAGATCATATCTTCACTCTTCGACAGATTCTAGAACATAGACACACTTTTCGGCGTCCAACAATTGTCATATTTCTTGACTTGAAGGCGGCCTTCGACTCCGTGGATCGAAAGGTACTATGGCAATGTCTGACTGTGAAGGGAGTGCCAAGAAAGTACATTGCACTAATCAAGGCACTCTATTCAAACTCACGTAGTCGTGTAAGGGCTTATGGGGAATTGTCATCTGAATTGGTAACAACCAGTGGTGTCCGACAGGGATGTCCACTTTCCCCATTTCTGTTTAACTTCATCATAGATATGCTAATGGAAGTATCCTTAACTGAACGTAGTGACTTAGGAATCGACTTGTTACCAGGGAATAATCTTATGGACTTAGAATATGCAGATGACATAGTCCTGTTAGGGGAGGATGCTGACAAAATGCAGAGTCTTCTGAACACCTTGAGCAGCAATCTTCGTATGTTTGGCATGCGATTCGCCCCTGCAAAATGTAAGATGCTGCTACAGGACTGGACCACGTCAACCCCTAACTTAGTGATAGGGAGTGAAGTGATAGAACATGTTGACCACTTCACCTACTTGGGAAGTTGTATTAGCACCAACGGACTGATTGGCGATGAAATCTCAGCACGGATCCGAAAAGCTCGAGCTGCTTTCGCTGACTTACACCATCTCTGGCGTAGGCGTGACATCCGGTTATCAACCAAGGGACGTGTGTACTGCTCATCAGTTCGCTCCGTCCTTCTCTATGGCTCTGAAACATGGCCAATACGCGTTGAAGACATGAAAAGGTTGACTGCTTTCGATCATAGATGTCTGCGATCTCTGTCTCACGTTAGGTGGTTTCACAAGATAAGTAATGTTGACGTTAGGCGTAGAGTGTTGGGCAAAGAGGGAAAATCAATCGACGAGGCTATAAAGTTACATAGACTAAGATGGCTAGGTCACGTGCTGCGCATGCCTAACCACCGCCTCCCCCGACGGGCATTGCTAGCTGATATAGGTTCAGGTTGGAAAAGAGCCAGTGGTGGCCAAACAAAAACATGGCATCAATCCATGAAATCCTTGACAGTTAAACTGAGTCAGGTAGGGAGATGCAGACTTCCGGGTTGGGGCCCTCGGGACTCTAGGAATCAATGGCTGGAGACAATAGGTGACATGGCTCAAAATCGTTGTCAATGGCGCAGATGTATTCAGTCTCTGTAATCTTTCATATTCCTTTCTACCATTACCCATTCTGTTTCACTCTTATACTTGTCAAACTCTATTGATTCTCTTCACTCATCTTCTTGTCTACCTCTGTGTGCTATTTGGAACGTGGCAACTGGAACTGGTGCACTTCGGTGCCAAGTTCTATGTTGAATCCAGACAGAGACAGACAGTTGATAATGAGAGTTGATATTGCATCTTGACACTATATAGTGTTGTATTACTCACAGATTATCATTGATAGACTTTTATTTTTTTTAGTCGTTTTATTGTGATACTTATGTCATTCATAGGAGTTAGTGAACAATGAAAACTCTGAGGATAAATCAGACCAAGAAACCAATGAAGACAGTCTACGGATAAATCAAAGGCTGAATTCTCTTTTATCAGAAAATGAATCTTTAAAAGTAAGATTTCAGTTTTAAAATTGGACATTTTGACAAAGTCTAATGACTCCTCATTCATTCTTTTTTTCTGTTCTACTCGGACTCACACAGTCGTGTAAGAGCTTATAGACAGTTGTCATCTAAAGAGATGATAATCAATGGTGTCCGTCACGGATGCCCACTGTCCTCCACTCCTCTTCAATTTCATCATAAATATACTAATGGAGTTGACTTTAACTGACACTTCAGTGACTTAGGGATTGACTTGTTACCAGAGAAATAGTCTTGTGGACTTAGAATATGCGAATGATACAGCTTTGCCTCCTGGTTGAAGATACTGATAAAGTGCAGAGTCTTCTGAACACCTTGAGGAGCAGCAATATTTGGATGTTTGGAGTCAAATGTCAAGATGATCCTACAGGACTGGGCTACATCGACTCCTCAGCTGAAGATAGGGAGTGAGTCAGTGGAGTGTGTTGCATCAGTCCTAGCGGGTTGATCGCTGCTGAAGTCTCAGCACGGATGCAGAAAGCTAATGTGGGATTTGCCAACTTACACAATCTCTGACGTGGGCGTGATATCCGGGTGTCTACCAATCAAAGAACTACTTAGGAGTTCACTCCGTCTTCATTAATAACTGCGAGATATGGCCATTGAAGTGGGAGACATGAATAGGTTGGTTAGTTATCTTTGATCATAGGTGTCTGCGTTCCACCTCCCATGTTGAGTGGTATAATAAGGTGAATAATATTAAGGTTAGGTGTCGAACGTTAGGTAAGGAGGGAAAATCAATCGATGAGGTTGTGAAGATGAATCGATCGAGATGGCTAAGAAATGCGTCACGCATGCCTTTTTTCAATTCCCCTGTTTGAATTGATTAGTAGGGCTTTTTATTTAGAGGTCTGAACATCTCTATGTGTATATTTGTGTGTGTGTGTTTATTTAATGTAGAGGCATACTGTTCTAAGCGAACGTACTCTAAACTATCTGTTTCAACGTAGAACTTTGCACAGAAATACTAAAGTTCAAGCTGCTACATTCTGTGCAGCGAGAGAATTCGAAAAGAAATTCAAAGAACTTTAATCTGCAGAATTGTGATGGAGAAAAAATAGTAATATGGAAAATCATGAGGACGATTTTGAGCCATATCACTAGTTATTTCTGTAACCACCAGTTCATAGCATCCTCAGGACTCCAAAGAGGCAGTATTCACTTCCCCACGTGGTTCAAACCTACTTCCAAAGTCTTCATTTCACTGATTCCATGTCTTGGTTTGACCACTCATAACTTTTATCCAACCGTATCCTATATCAGATAACATTGCTTGTCGTGGAGGGCTGTATCTGAGCTGTGTAACACATGTCCTAAACATTTCAATCGATACGACTTCTGGCCCTCTGTGTGTAACACCCTACACCTACCCTCAGTCCCTTAGACGTAACTGTTGACCAACACGTTTTAGTGACAATTGATGAATCACTAACTAACTTAGGACTTCATCATTAGCTGACATCGGTCAGAGGACCATTGGAAAACCGGCTGGGAGTACTGGGCATCTGTTTCGTCAGTCTAGTTTGGGACTCTTCATCAGTATTCACCCACCTCCAGGGTTCGAACCCAGGATATTCTGTTTACAAAGCGAGTTTGTGGACCATTAAGCCACTGGGACCCTATCCAATGGCCAGTGTATGAATTCTAACTTCTTCCAATTCATGATATGGCGCGACCACTAACGAATGTCTTCGGCGAGTATTTGTCTTCACACCCAACCTGTTGTACCCCACTGGTCACGATTTCCTGCGCCTTGTAACCAGAAAGTACTGGGTTCGAACCCTAGCGGTGGGTGCATCCTGATGAAGAGTCTCAAACTAGGCTAACGAAACAGCTGTCCAGTACTTTCTAGGCTTGGCAATAGTCCTCTAATCGATGTCAGTTCATGATGAAATCCTTGCAAACCAACTTTTGAATAACTTAACTTAATTCCTTATCAAGACAAATATGTATCGATTTTCTTCTGACTGTGTTCTCTCTGTTGTCTTTTTTTTTGCCTCTCCCATTGATTTTCTTTGTCTTCTAGACAGAATTGTTGTCGACAAAAAGTGAGCTGAACAGCTATCAAATAAAGCTGGCTGATACAAGTGAAATAAACAAACTAGAAACAGAATTAACTAATCGTTCCACGTGTATATCGATTCTTGAAAGACAAATTCAAGAATTAAAGCTGACCAATAAAAAACTTACTGAAGATTTATCTGTTATACAGCATACTAAAGACACCTTACAAACTGATCTAACAACACTAAGAAATGATTCTGAAATAAAACGAAAAAAATCGGAAAATGAAATTGTAAGTGTCTAAAATATTTTGTGTATAAAATAATTTTGTAAAGTTTGACTATGGATTGATGTTGGTTAGGGAACCATTGAAAACCATCAGGGAGTGCTGGATAGCCTCAAACCTCGTCCTATTTTAAGCCTCAACAGCAGTAATCACCCACCTACAATAAGGGTTCGGTTTCAGGAGCTTCCAGTTACATGGGAAGCTAACTCCGTAGATCATTCAGCCACTGGGACCCGTTTCAGTGACCAGCCCATGAATTTTGAATTCTACAAATTCGTGATTTTACCGCGACCACCAATGAGTGTCACTGGCGAGTATTTCTCCTTACTCCAAAACTTGTTGGTGGACCCCAGTTGTCGTGACTTCTGACTAGAACTCCAATCAACGTCGTCCTCTAGCCAGTCACTAGCAAACATCAGATTAATAAAGGTTAAGTTCCCCTTGATAATCATTGATTAAAGTTCTTCCCATCTAACTAACTGTCCTAATTTCGTGACTAGTTGACTTTGTGGCTCATAGTCTAGTAGGCGAAGAAAATGTTCTGTTGGCTAGCGGTTGCGCTATATCGTGAATTGGCAGAAGTTAGAATTCATGGGTCATTGGATCGGGTCCCAATGGCTTAATGGTCAACGAGCTCGCCTTGTAACCAGAACGTCCTGGGTTCGAACACGAGTGGTGGGTGCATACTGATGAAGAGTCCTAAACTAGGACGAAACAGCTGTCCAGTACTCCCAGGTTTCCCAATGGTTCTGTAACCAATGTAAGCTTATGATGAAATCCTGCAACCAATCAACCAAATCCCTACAAACCAATATTTGAATTTTAAATATCTGACTGGTTGATTTTGGCAGCTGTCACGCTAGTTACCTTATTTCGGTTGATGGTCAGTGGCAGTGGAGTCCAGAATGTTCATTGCATCCTGTATGACACTGAGGAGCTGGATTTACCTGCCACCCCCAGTGAGAGATGGTGTTCCCACTGAGATTCGAATTCCACACCCGTCGTTTCGAACATCTGTCACCAGGGATGCAGGTACGTCCAGCTGACGAGTCTCATATAGGAAGAAGCGTGCATCCTAGATTCGACTATGAATCATCATCAATCGAGATAACATCATGTTGATCTTCAGACATCGTCGAAGGGTTCATATTGGGGGCCGGCATGTCAGAAGAGTTCGAGCATTTCGGCTTCAAATCATCAATCATCGGGAAATGCAGAGTAACTTAGAAAACTTTTACTTAGCACCTAGTGAGTCATGGGTTTAAATTCTGGTTTTTTATGAGTTCGTGCAAAATGATTGTATCAGTAATCCCTAGGTTGTGACGCATTCCAGGGTATGTAAAGGCTGAAATAATAAGCCGTGGTTTAACGGATTATTACAATTTTAGGAACTGCTGGTTTTAAGAATTCTTCTGTTGGCTTTATTGCGGGAAAACGAATGAGGAATTCTGCATGAAAGTATAATGGTTCGAATTGATTTTGACGCAATACAGAGGTGATTGCAGCGGTAGGAGAAAAAAACTGAATGAAGAGGGGATTGTCGTCAGCAGCCTCAAGATTAGTCATCATCAGACTAAATGACTTCGTTAATAAGTTCGAGAGTTCATGAAGTTTCATGGGAATTTGGCACGAGTGATGTCCCCAGAATCGCTCGGCCTTTTGTTTGAGAGTGCAGCTCTAGCCTTTACACAGCCAAGTGTGACCTACAAGGCAGTAGGAGTGGAGTAAGGAGTCCACTATCCATTGGCAGCCGATGACCGGAGTTCGGTTCATACGCCTTTTTGAATGGGGCCAGACATCCAGGACATCCAACAAGCCCTTTGTCCATACGTCTGCCGGTGAGCTCCAGTAATCTTCATACTCCAATCGTTGGAGGTTTGGAATCAGGGTTTAGCCATCTCCCCTAGACTGTCATCCAATGGACAGTCAACCCGGTGGAGAGCACCAGGCATCCGCTTTCGCCCTCTCACTTTGGTGCGAAACACCTCCGCCACGTGAGGCAGTGAGTAGGACTTCCTCAGGAGAGGCTATGTAAGACGCCTGGTCATATGGGAGCATTTCAAGAGGTGTGCGGAGGGGTGGCCAACCCTCAGCGCAAGGCACCCACCCCCGACCATCCTGAGGCTTTGGAGGCTCTCTTACAAATTGCCGCGCCTGGGCAGCGATGATTCGAGACGTTCATGAAGCCGGCTCATCCTCCCGTAGGAGATAGCCGAAGTAAAGTAAAGTAAGTAAGTACTTAGTTAATATTCAAATATATGCCTGTAGCTTGTGAGTAGTAATAATTCAAGTGTCAGAAATTACTTTGTCCTCTATATAGTTGGGTTTTATAAGCGTTGAATCAGCTTTTACAGTCTTGATTAAAATTTTTTAACTGATTACGACGTGGTTATTGTGTGGTGAGAGCTGGCTGCAAGCCAAAAATTGTAGACAACAAGTGACGTCAATGTTACGTCCCGAATCGGGGTCATGAGAAAAAGACATTGAGGAACTCATCAACCAATCACAGAAGATTTAACGTGTGCAAATACGATTTGCAGATATATGGCTTAACTTTCTAAGAAACGGTCACATGTAGTAGGGGATAACCTTTAGCAGGAAAACAACCAATCAGAAGACGTTGCTTCTATGCTAACAATAACGCTAATAATAATAATATAAATATCAGTTGATTTGCTCAATAAACGCTCTGTTTCCTGGCCCTTGTCTTCTGTCGTTACAATTTTCCTGCATAACAGTCTCACTTGCTACGCGTGATATCAGAGTGAAAAGAAAGATGCAATAGTAGGAATATAAAATAATGACAATGTTTAGTCGTTATTTTCAGTTGTTCCCCAATTATTCAGCTTAAGGAAAACTTACACTTCTCTATACAGCTAACAACAGCGATCAGAGAATAGCCGTCACCATATATTTCTGTCACCCAGCATCATTTCAACTACAGGCGACAAGCACACATGAGGAATTCAACACCAGAATCGTAAAGGCAAGACTGAGCTGTGATCACTCTGAAATCATTTTGGAAATCTTCTCCACTCCACTGGTGCATAAACAACAAAATTTGGATTTTTCCAGCTCCAATGTTCAGTCAGTCAGTTCTTCTGTATGGGTTAGAAATTCTGCTTGCGCGTCACGAACAGCATTCCCAACAAGTTACTGCAGACTTTTATCAACAGCTGACTTCTGAAAAGCCAGAAAGAATTAGCAATGAGAAACTCTTTTCTTATGGACCAACCAAGAATCTATTAATCAACAAGTATGCAGAATAAAGTGGAGATGGATTGGGCATATACTCTGTGGTGACCGACCGTGTGTGGTGAAATCGCGCTCCTGACTATCACTCGAATGGAACCCGAATGGGGAGTGCTTTCGAGGTTGACATAGAGGAGATCGATATAAGTATAAAAATTGGGCACTGTGCTCGTAGAGTATCACACCATTATGAATAAGATTTTATTTTGATAAATCACACAGTGTACTGTTATACAGTAATACTAAATGATGACCACGTCTCGAGCACAAACTATCACTGCTAGTAATCATATCAAGTCACTGATTCACACAACTTTCACCCTTCATTTCTATACCTGAGTGAAATTGATGATTAGACGTTTGAATACAAATCAATCAGTATAGGATAATGTACATTCACAAATAATAATATGAGTGTTATCAATCAAATACAATCAGATGGGAAATAAGACGCGTGTTTTTATAGTCGAAATAAGTAACTTGTCAGAATGTTATGATGTATGTGAATTGAAATGAAATAGAATTTTAAGATTATTTATTATCCTCCTCTGATTTGACTGACTGACAGGTGGTAATAATATCTTCCATGCATATCTCTGGTATTTGAGTTGAGTTATTTCTGTTGCATGTGTTGGTTGTAGGGTCAATGAACCAGGTAGGATTCAGTAATCAATCTCTCTCCAACCACCTCTCCTATCACCACCTATATTTACCTTTTAGAATTTTGACTCTTTCCCACCCATCATGTTGTGTGGTTGTGTGTTAATCCTTGTTCATCGAGTCTACACCGAACACATGCAACGGAAATGACTCAATCCAAATACCATAGATATGCATGGAAGATATTATTACCACCAGTCAGTCAGTCAAATGAGAGGAGGATAATAAATAATCTTGTCGTCGGTGGCACAGTGGTTAGGACTCTCGCCGAGCATGCACATGGTCCGGGGTTCGAGCCCACGCCGACGCACACCTGATATCTATGGTCGGCCTGCGAATTTTGGGCTACCGATATCCACGCTGAAAATTCCACACTTGTACCAAAAATACGGTGTGGAATTAAGCTGTAATCAAAAATAAAAAAATAAATAAAAATAAAATCTTAAAATTCTATTTCAATTCAATTCACATACATCATAACATTCTAACAAGTTACTTATTTGACTATAAAAACACTCGTCTTATTCCCCATCTGATTGTATTTGATTGATAACACTCATATTATTATTTGTGAATGTACATTATCCTATACTGATTGATTTGTATTCAAATGTCTAATCATCAATTTCACTCAGGTATATAAATGAAGGGTGGCAGTTGTGTGAATCAGTGACTTGATATGATTACTAGCAGTGATAGTTTGTGCTCGAGACGTGGTCATCAGTTAATATTACTGTATAACAGTACACTGTGTAATTTATCAAAATAATATCATTATCCATAATGAAAAAGAGGAGATGGTGTGAGTAGGAGACGTTAGCCTATAAGCAATTATGGGGCTAGCTGAAGAGAACCACGGAGAATAGGGTGAAATGATGATGTGCTGTTGAAGCCCTATTGTGTCACTCAGAACTCAAACGAATATAATAATTATAATAAAATAATACCACTCATAGGTAGTGCGATTGGCTGTTTGCACTTTTAACTTAATAACTACATTCCAATTGTTTCTTTTTTAAGTAATAATAATGCTTAGTTCATAAATGTTGTAATAAATTTAGTCATTTTCATACAATGAGGATTGTAATCTTACGGTTAACTTTACTCTTCTTGCTGTTCCTTTTATTTTATTCAGAGCCGTTTAACTAATGAATTAAGAGAATTACAGAAGACGAATAAAGCACTTCAAGAAAACTGTGATCAGCTAAAACTTCAAGCCGATGAAGCGGTAAAATCGAATGGAATGTCAGAAGAAAAGCTAATTAGTCTAGAAAAGGAGCTTAAAGTTGTTCGTTCAGATTTACAGAGTAAGAGATTGTCTGCATATATTATAGTAGTAATTATTATTATTATCATTCCTTTGGCTTCCGAGTGGAACGTACTGCTTCAACGACAAGTCTGCATTTTGTCCTGTTCTCTCCAGTCCTCTTTAGCTTGCTCGACGATTGCCAATAAGCTTTTTTCGGCTGCTCACGCGATCTCCTCCATGTGTTACCCTCGGGCACACGCCGGACTCGTCGTTACCCATTCGAGTTCCACTCGAACGATAACCTGACGCGCGATGACATCCAATGGTCTTCTCAGGGTATTTCCGATCCATCTCCATTTACCTATACGTATTTGTTGAACAATATAACTTCTTAGTTGATTCTTGTTGGTCATCCTCTCCCACCGGCCATCTAATCCTCAATATGGAGTCAGCGAAGTCAGCTGTTGACTTCCAGTATTTCAACACTAACGTTAAGTCAGTCAGTTCTTCTGTATGAGTGAGATACTTGGCTAGGGCTTTACGAACAGCATCTCCAATAGTCTACTGCAGACGTTTATCAATAACTGACTTCTGTGTTTTCATATTGAAAACCAGATAGCCGGTGGGAAAAGATAAGCAACAAGAAATTCTCGGAAAGAACCGACCAAGACCCTGTTGATTCTATCAAGCTGTAATCCATTGATATTATTAATAATGATTCGATGTATGTATATTATTATTTATATATAACTGTAGAACCTTATGAAGAGCAGGTTATAGAAAAGAATATCCTTTGTTTAGTAACCATTCTATTAAGAAAAAATTTTAATGGGCGGCATTTTTAATCAGTTAATAGATTTCTGTAAATCTGAACGGGAAAACATGAGAGACTAATAACCAAAAATGTGTGGTACTCTACTTCAACTGAAAATTCATGTGCAAACTGATATTTCCCTGTTTAATCAGACCCTATATCCTTATTATTAATACTATCTACTATCGTTTACTTTAGTTCCTAGAGGAACATAGGCCTTCAGATGAACGTCTCCATTGCGTTCGGTTCTCTGTCAACGTTTTCATCACCCGGCTCCACGTCTGCCCATGCTTTCATCTCCTCTTCGTATGACTTCCTCCTGCATGTCACCCTCGCGTTCACGATCAACTCGCCGTTTCCCACTTGGGTTCCACTCGAGCGATGACCTGGCGTGTGATGTCACTCATTTGATGGTATATTTTTTCAGAGTATGGCCAATCCAATACAGCTTCATTTCTTCCTATATATTTGTTGCGTAGTTGGTTCCTGGTGGGTTGGTTCGTTCACTGCCAGAGATCCCTCCCTGTTGCTGATCCTTCCTGGCCGGCCACCTGATCTTACGTGGTATTGAGCGAAGACAGCTGTTGATGAAGGTGTGTAGTTTGTTCGAAGTGTCCTTCGTGATGCAGCGCGGTGCCAAGTCTCTGATCCGCATAGCAGCACTGACTTAACATTGGATTTGAAAATCCGGATCTCATTTTCATTTTCATGCAGAGTGTTGTTGACCTCCACACAGACTTGAGAGAAGTGAAAGCTTTCCTTGCTTTCCCGAACTAGCTTTGATATCCTCGTCAGTTCCGTCAGCCTGTAGTTGAAATGATACTTCCCAGGTAGGTGGGTAGGTAAAGGAGGTTGCTTCTTTCAGATTTCCCCCACTTGTGTTGATTCTTGTCGGTTGTTGTTGTTGTTGCTGTTTTTGGCCAGGAATCTTCTTCATCTCTGTCTTCCCTGTGTTCACCTGAAGTCCTATCTTGTCTGGATGCTTCTTCTGCCAACTTGTCGCTTTTCACTTGCATATCTTCCAGTTTGTGGGAAGTCAGACATATATCATTGGTAAAGTTCAAATTCACCATTTTTTTTGTGGTTCCAGTTTATGCCTGTTTCCTCGCTGCCCACTCTCTGTCGCATTATCCAGTCTACCGCAATCAGGAAAATCATTGGAGATAGTAGGCAGCCAGCCAGCCTTTTCTTACTCCCGTCTTCACTTCGACAGATTCCGTGAATTTCCCGTTGTGAATTACTTGGTATGCAGCATTGTCGTCCAACTGTTGGATGAGATGTATAATTTTTGTCGGTACCCTTTCGTAGTAGTAGCGAAGTAGTTGCCAAATCACCTCTCGGTCGACGCTGCGTTATCAAAGACCTTTTCAAAATCGATGAATTTGAGTTAGAGATGGGACTGCCATTCCAAGCGCTGTTCAATGATGATACCTAGTGTTGCGATTTGATCGATGCATGACTTGTCCTTACCCAATCCAGCTTGTTCCGATCGAAGTTTGTGATTATATTCATAGTTAAATATCAAGTAGTGAAACAATTAATCTCTTATACAGAACAGTTCATAGGATGTGCAAATGTTAGGAAGGCGGTGCATGATCACAGGGTAAGTAGGCAAATAAAAAAAACGTTACATAATATGATGTGGAATTTGATAAGATCAAGTTGAACATTACAAGAGTTTTGATTTAGATTGACAAATGGAACAAGTGAAATGATACGGGAAACAGTTTCAAGTGAGAAGAGTAATAGTAACAATGAGGGAAAGGTACATAGATTAACTAAATAAACAAAATAAAAAATAAATGTTTATCCCTCTACTTCCAAGGTAGAAATAGAGACTGTTCATACTTCTTTTGTACACAAAGGTTTGGCTTGAATCCATGGTTGGACTAGTCTTCTGTTGTCTGTAGAAGTTTAGAGTGAAGAAACTGTGGCAAGTTAGCATTAATTTGATAGATGATCGTGAAATCATGTTAAGGGTTGGTAAAGCCTCAGGATGGTCGGGGGTGGGTGCCTTGCGCTGCGGGTTGGCCACCCCTCCGCACACCTCTTGAAATGCTCCCATATGACCGGGCGTCTTACATAGCCTCTCCTGAGGAAGTCCTACTCACTGCCTTCACGTGGCGGAGGTGTTTCTCACCAAAGTGAGAGGGCGAAAGCGGATGCCCGGCGCTCTCCACCGGGTTGACTGTCCATTGGATGACGGTCTAGGGGAGATGGCTAAACCCTGATTCCAAACCTCCAACGACTGGCGTATGAAGCTCACTGGAGCTCACCGGCAGACGTATGGACAAAGGGCTTGTTGGATGTCCTGGATGTCTGGCCCCATTCAAAAAGGCGTATGAATCAGACTCCGGTCACCGGCTGCCAATGGATAGTGGACTCCTTACTCCACTCCTACTGCCTTGTAGGTCACACTTGGCTGTGTAAAGGCTAGAGCTGCACTCTCAAACAAAAGGCCGAGCAATGCTGGGGACATCACTCGTACAAAATTCCCATGAAACTTCATGAACTCTCTTACAAATTGCCGCGCCTGGGCAGCGATGATTCGAGACGTTCATGAAGCCGGCTCATCCTCCCGTAGGAGATAGCCGAAGTAAAGTAAAGTAAGTAAGTAAAGTGACAGAGGTCGATCAAGTGTTCTAGAACAGAGTTTCACACGCCCTTCATTTCTCGTTCGTAAAACTATGCTGGTATATATTCTCGTATTCGTATCTCAAGCGTTCTCTGGCTAAGGGCAATGGATCTTGCTCCACACAGACCAGGTAAACTGATAGATGCATATGGAGGCGGCCAAACGAATGAGAACTTCTATTTTACACAAACGGAGAACAACTTACGGCTGGCGAAGGTCATTTGTAGTCTTGCAGCAAAGAGTGTCGTACTAATTGATGTAGTGAGACGATTTCTGAGTGCATATGTGAAGCTTGATAATCTTTGGATTCAAAATTTATCAAGATTGTTTTCTTTTGAACTGAGTCAGCGACCAGTTTCAATTGCTTACCTTTTGTATTTTAATAAAAGGTAGTCAGGTTTTCTTTCCTAGTAAAATACTAACGACAACCAGTTAATTCGTCATCTTGGTTTTTCACACCTAGTAGGCATGTTGTTGTTGTTGTATAGTGTAATTCAGTGTTGACAGGAAATGGATTTGACTTGACATCAAGGTCGTTATTTGTTAGATCTCCTATCACGTTAAAAAAATCAATGATCATAATGGGAATTACTCTTACGTAAACTTGTAAATGATAACCATATTCAATTTTTATGTAAACTGAAGTCTGTTTACTTGAAGTCAATTGGTGAATGGTGATTGACTGGCAGCGGAATTGGGGATGCGCGTTTCGCCCTATTTGAGACTCGTCATCTGGATGTATCTGCATTCCCCAGTGAGTGATGGTGTTCCCACTGAGGTTCGAATCCAGTTTGCATAGTTTCAAACGCCAAAGCGTTATCCATTAGACCACTTGGGTCACGAGAGTTATCGCTTGTGTAACGGGTTTTATTAATTGCGTTTGGTTTGTAGTCTCAACTTCTAGTTCTAAGTGATTCTTTTTCATCAGCGACGAGGATATCAAAGCGAGGATCGGGAAAGAAAGGTAAGCTTTCATTTCTCTCAAGTTTGTGTGGGGGTCAACAGTACCCAGCATGAAAAATAAGATCCGGGTTTTCAACTCCAATGTGAAGTCAGTGCTACTCTATACAGTGTTGACCACAACTTCACTTATTTGAGGAGTTGCATCGGCCAGTGCCAGTGGGTTGCTCACTGATCAAATCTCAACAAGGATACAAAAGGCTCGTTTAACATATGCCAACTTACTCCATCTCTGGCTTAGTAAATGTCATATCCGGCTGGCTGTGGACCAAAAGCCGTGTGTACTGCACAGCAGCAGTTTTCTCTGACCTCCTTTATCGCTGTGACTGAGACATGGCCATTGAAGGAGGACGACAAGAAAAGTATAAGTGTCTTTAATCATAGATGTTTGCGTTCTGTTTCCTGTGTTATGGGGTAGGTGTAACAGGGTGAGCGATATTGAGGTGAGGCTTTGGTCGAGTGCTAGGCAAGCAGGGAGGGGAAATCAATAGACGAGATTGTGAGGTCACATAGATTGAGATGGTTAGGACATGTGTTACATAAGCCTAGTCATCGCCTTGGCTAAACCCTGATTCCAAACCTCCAGCGACTGGCGTATGAAGCTCACCGGCAGACGTATGAACAAAGGGCTTATTGGATGCCCTGGATGTCTGGCCCCATTCAAAAAGGTGTATGAATCGGACTCCGGTCACCGGCTGCCAATGGATAGTGGACTCCCTACTTCACTCCTACTGCCTTGTAGGTCACACTTGGTTGTGTAAAGGCTAGAGCTGCACTCTCAAACAAAAGACCGAGCGATTCTGGGGACATCACTTGTACCTAATTCCCATAAAACTTCATGAACTCTCTACAACATCAACCAAATTCCAGTACTGGTCCAACAACGTCGCCTTCGGTGGTTTGGCCATGTTCTCCGCCGACCAGATGACGATCTAGTCAAATCAGTTCTAAATCCCTCGCCATTTCCATCTTGGCGGTGTCGCAGGGGTGGACAGCTGAAAACGTGGCTTGGTACAGTCAAGGCTGATATGGAGTTCCTGGGCTGGGGCTACAAACCGTCTACGGACTCCGTCTGTGGAACAAGAATTGAGTAACCCTGTCGCAAAACCTTGCATCAGATCGCCGCGCCTGGGCAGCGATGATTCGAGATGTTCATGAAGCCGGCTCATCCTCCCGTAGGAGATAGCCGAAGTAAAGTAAAGTAAGTCATCGCCTTCCTTGACGAGTAATGCTAGCTAATAAAAGATGGATCAAGTTGGAAAAGCGCCAATCGTGGTCAAGCCAAAACATGGCACCAGTCAAAGAAATCTATGTAGGGGGGGGGCGTCGACTGCCTGATTGGTTGGGGTCCTCGAGACTGTAAGAACCAATGACTGCTAGAGACAGTTGGTGGTATGGCTGAAAATCGTTCTCAATGGCTGATTTGTAATATGAAATAAAACTTTATTGTTCTACCACAATACTGCTGTTTTTCCCTCACACTTCTGTTTATTATCTGTCCTTTGGATGTCTCTTTACTCACTTCTCTCGCTTTGTTTGATACATGGAGGGAAAATAGCAACTAGGACTGCTCTGCACACCACCTGTACAAATCTCTATGTTTAGATCAGTCTGTCAGTAAGTCAGTCTATTCTGTACTCATGACTTCATAATAATAAATTTGTTAACAAATAAACTAGCAGTAAATAAACATTGCACACAAATTCAGTGGTGTGTTAGCAACATTGATCGATTTATAACTCTGTTGATGATTTATTCACATAATTCATGTATACCAATCTTTGTTTAATTTATTCCGAAATCTTGTTTTCTTTGTTGTGTACATTTAATAGATTAAAGCACCACAGAATACTTATCAAGATTTGTGTATTTGTGTTCTCTAAGTTTTAGATGGTATAATTGAGAATATCATTTACTGATGGCACAGTGAATAGGTGCTTCCTTCGAATTACTATTATTATTGCTGATATTAAGCGTAGAAGGCTGAGTTAGCTAGCTTTGCATACCTGTTACCATGGAAAAAATCGCGTTGATTAAGAATATGCAGATGATATAGTCCTCTCGCCTAGATGAAGACACTGACAAAATGCCAGAGTCTTCTGAACACCTTAAGGAGCAGCGATCTTTGATTGTTTGGCATGCTATTCGCTTCCCTTGTCAAATATAAGATAATGCTACAGGACTGGATTAGACTACACTGACTCCTAGCTTAATTTTAGGGCGTGAAGTGGTTGGTGGAGCGTTTTGACCGCTTCACTAACTCGGGAAGTTGTATCAGCCCCAACGCCACCGGGTTGATCTATGACGAAACTTCAGGACGGATGCAGAAGGCTAATTTCGCGTAGACATGATATCCAGCTGACTGTCGACCAAAGGGTGGGTGAACTGCTCAGGAGTTCGCTCTGTCCTCCTCTGTGACCGTGAACAGGATCTGGCTATTGAAAGTGGAAGACATGAAAGGCATTGCTAGCTGTCTTTGTTCATAGGTGTCTGCATTCTATCTTCCATGTATGTTAGGTGGTATACTCGGGTGAGCAATGTGGGGATTAGGCGTCAAGTGCTAGGTAAAGAGGGGAAATCAATCGACGAGGTTGTGAAGCTGCATCTATTGAGATGGTTAGGACATGTGTTACATATACCTAGCCATTGCCTTCTTCCTCGACGGGCAATGTTAGCTGACATAGGGGTAGGCTGGAAAAGAGCTAGCGGTGGTCAAACCAAAACATGGCTTCATCGCTCAATGAAATCCACATTAGTTAGTTCAAGCTTATCACATAGGAAGGTGTAGACTGTTTGGCAGGTTGGAGTCCTTGGGATGATAAAAGCCAAAGAAGGCTGGAGACAACTGGCGATGTGAGTCAAAATCGTTCTGAATGACTGGCGCAGATGTATCCACTCCTTGTGACTTATAACACTCAGTTATTATTATTGTTTTTGTCCCATATCTGTGTTTACTGTCTTTGTTTTGCATTCTTATTTACTTCCTTCTCTTTCTTTCTGTGCTGAGTCAAGTGTGGTAACTTGAACTGCCACACATCGGTGCAAAGTTCTATGTTGAAACCAGTCACTCAGTTTGTGATACGTTTCTGACTCATGTCAATCTGTAGTATCACATCAAACATTGATGTATTATCACGATTATGCGTCAGTGTGTCTTTATTTTCACAAGTTTTCTCCACTTAAGGCGTTAGTTAAAATGATTCCATCGTCTTTTAAAATTGGAGAACATATTCATTATTTGATCAGGTATCAATGATAATCTAGTTAAATAAATTAATTCTTATGGAAGTCGATTTGATTTGGGATTGCTAGCTCCTCACCCCCACCTTCCGTCTTTGCTAGGTTTACTATTGGATAAACAAGATTTAAGAGTACTCTGGCTTGGATTTCAACTTTGACAACATACATGATCATGGGGTGACCATTCTACCATACACGCTGACTGACGTGTTTCAATATAGTAGTTGTCAAAGAAGTGCACCAGTCTCAGGTTACTATTCTAAGCATCACATAAATAATGACAAAAGAGAGAAAAAAGAGGTTCGAAAGGACGAGAATAGACAGAAACGTGAGGGAGAATGATTAGTAATATGTAAGAGTAATAGGGTTTAATCGATATAGCATCTAAGGAGTCATTGAGTATGATTTCGAGTCATACCACCAATTATCCCTAGCCGTCATTGATTCTTACCATCCTGAGGACCCCAAAAGGGAGGCTTACTCTCCCCTGCATCACTCAATCCAACTGTCAGCGATTCCATAGACTGATTCCATTTTTCGGATTGATCACCGCTAGCTCTTTTTAAAGTCGATCCTATGTCAGCTAACATTGCCCGTTGGCGAAAAAAGCGATGGCTAGGCATGCATGCGTAACACATATCCTAACCATCTCAACCTATGTAACTTGAAAACCTCGTCAATTTGTTTCCCTTCACACCTCACTAGCACTTGACACCTAACCTCAATGTTACTCACCTTGTTATACCACTGGACACGGGAGATATACCGTAAACATCTATGTCTTCCGCTTTCAATGACCAGGTCTCACAGCCATAAACGAAGGCAGAGAGAACTGCTGCTGTGCAGTACACACGTCCCTTGATTGACAGCCAGCCTGGTATGACGTCTACGAAGCCAGAGTTGGCATATGTCAAACGAGCCTTCTCTATCCGAACTGAGAACTCGCCAGCGGTCAGCCTAAATAATTGAAGTAGTCAACACGATCTCCTGACTCACTACCAATCTTGAAGCTAGGAGTCGATGTTGTCCAGTCCTGTAGCATCATCTTACATTTGACAGTAGGAGCGAATCAGACGCCAAACAGTCGAAGATTGCCGCTCCACAAGGTGTTTAGATGACTCTGCATTTTTATCAGGGATGACTATAACATCCACACATTCTAAATTAAGGAGACTATTCCCTGGTAACAAGTCAATCGCTAAAGTCAGTTACGGTCAACTTCACATCTATGATGAAATTTAAGAGCAATGGATATACTGGTCATCCCTGGTGGACACCATTGGCTGTCATCAAATTAGATGACAACTCTTCATAAACTCTTACACGTCTGCGTGATTTCAAGTAGGGTGCTGACGAGCACAACCATAAAATATTTTCTTCGAATTTTGTTACTATCATTATGCAATCAATAAATATCTAACTTATTATGCAATTTTTGCTTGTTTTATAAAAATCCACTTTTAGCAGAATCAGCTTTGTCCAAAAAAGAAATTGATTCGTTAATGGAAAAGTGAGTTGACTTTATTTTGTTGGTACGTACTTTTTTTTAATTGGAAAAAATATTGAGATGAAAGTATAAAACTTGGGCACTGTCCTGGTAGAGTATAACTTCATAATGGATAAGATTTTATTTTGATAAATTACACAGTGCTGTTTTACAGTAATATTAACTGATGAACACAATTCGATTACAAATTATCGCCACTCATAATCATATCAAGTCACTGATTCACACAACGTTCTTGCTTCATTTATATACATGAGTGGAATTGATGATTAGACATTAGAATAAAAATCAATATAAGATATTTAGACTTTAATTCATCTCATTCGTTGTCTGGCTTAGTCCAATGTCTAGCAAACCGATCATTAGCACTTAGTAGTACAAGAAAAAACCTAAATGATGAAATAAAACAGATAGTAGAGGTCTTCGTGTTGAATAACTATCCTATAAAATTCATTAGGAAAATCAAAATAAAAATAATGGTGAAACTGATAATGATAACTGTTATGTACTCGTCGCCAAATTATTGTTATGTACTGGTCGAGAAACTAATAGTCCTGACGCAAGAAGGCGGAAATCAGAAGACCACTAGGTTTGCGATGATACTTCTATTTTCCCGAACACAAGGAGAAGCAATAAGTGGTATCACACCAAAAGTAAGTCACACAAGATTGTGAGAGCGAAATATATATGAATGTTCAGACAAGGGTGTGAACAAATCAATAGACAGTCTTAACATGAATGGCTAATTATAATGAAGTATCGATCCATATATACATATCAAATCTTTGCTGGTCGTCTCATATTCTTATAGTTTCTAAGAAAGTTTTCCGTCTGACTTATTACATAAAGAAGTTGAGACACTCAGGTATAACTCAATCTCTTATCATACAATTTATTAATTCATGTGTTTTGCCCATCATTCTTTATTGTTCTCCATTATTCTTCCCTGGGCTACTCAAGAAAGATCATATAATACTACGAAGAACATTGAGGGCTGTAAGTAGGGTCAGTGCTATCCCTTTGACTGAACTAAATGACACTGTTGTCAATAGGCATATGAATTCGTGTAAACACTTAGCTAAAGTTATCTTATCTGATAGTGAACATCCTCTTTATTCACAATTGTTTCCTTGTATCTCTTCGGGTAAGACCAGAAGAAATTTTATAAACATTTATGCTCGTACTACAAAATATAAAAATTCGACCGTTCCATATTTGGCACGAGTATTGTGTGAAGAGACAAATATCAGAAAAGAACTTTTACAACTTTTGAATCAATAACTAAACTATAAAATGTAATGATGCATATTATTATGCATGTGTTATTCGTTATATTATTTATTTATTATTCACTATGACCTAGAAATGGTATGATTTTGTTGGGTTTTTTATTCTTATTTATTTTTTTTATTATTTTTTCCTATTAACTATCAATATTTTAACATTTTATATATTTATATAATTATAAACAGAGCTAAACCATTGCAATATGTAAAAGAAACGCTGAAAATTCCATGCTGTAAATTTTTATTGTTGTGGAATAAAGTGATTATTATTATTATTATTAGCGAAATATAGCAGACATGTCAACAACCACACATAATATGGATATATGTCACCAAGCAACGGACTGTCAACAAACATTCATATTATATATAATATGAGGGAAATATACATTGTTAAAGGAGACAGGTTCATCAAAGTGAAATGGTCACAGACTAAGCGAACAAACAGAAATAGAGATCACCAATATATATATATATATATATATATATATATATATATATATGGAGACATATCAATAACATAAATAAGAGAGAGAGTGTAAGGCATCTGCAGTTTTACCGTATAAAGAGGGGACATCTGAGACCCTCACCACATAGGATTCTCAATAAAGCGATAATTCAGAGTGGCATTCAAACCTACAAGGTCACTCAGGTAGGACAAGCTCCGTAGGCTTAAAGACCCGATGGACCCAACTAAACAAAATAATATAATTTACAAAATACCCTGCAATGATAATGAGTTAAGTCAACTACATAGGTCAAACTAGTAGGTCGGGGGTAGTCAGATTGTTGGAGCATAAGAATTTAGCTAAAGTAAGAATGGTTGACCCCGCTCTCGAAGATGAGTAATTTAGAAAAAAGCTCAGCAATTGCAATGCATGTATTAATACAATCACTTAATAGAGTAAGAAGGAGAGGGTTAAAATTCTAAGAAGTAATGTAGGTAGGCGGTGATAGAGAGAGAGACTGATTACTGAATCGTGGCTCATCCAGTCTACACCCAACCAACACATGCAACAGAAATGACTCAGTCCAAATACCACAGATATGCATGGAAGATATTATCACTACCAGTCAGTCAGTCAAATCAGAGGAGGATAATAAATAATCATAAAATTCTATTTCAATTCAATTCACATACATCACAGCATTCTAACAAGTAACTTATTATGACTATAAAAAGACATTCGTCTTAGTTCCCATCTGATTGTATTTGATCGATAACATTCATATTATTATTTGTGAATGTACATTATCCTATACTGATTGATTTGTATTCAAATGTCTAATCATCAATTTCACTCAGGTATATAAATGAAGGGTGAAAGTTGTGTGAATCAGTGACTTGATATGATTACTAGCAGTGATAGTTTGTGCTTGAAATGTGGTCATCAGTTAATATTACTGTATAACAGTACACTGTGTAATTTATCAAAATAAAATCTTATTCATCATGGGGTTAAAACTGTTGAGAATTAGGAATCAGCTGAAAAAAGAGGGAGAACTCTGTCGTCGCCGCATGTGAAAGTAGTAGCACTTTCAGTTTTTGTTAACTTGAAGTTGTACTTTTCAAACTTCTCTTATAAGACAGTGTAACTAATTCAGTACTTCAAATTTAGAATTAAAAATTCAATTGGTATAATGCAGGCACATCCAGATGACGAGTCCCAACCAGGACGAAATGCACGTTATCCTGGATTTCACTGCTGTGGTCACCCTTCACTGATCGACTTGAAGTTACATGACCAAACGTCATCGAATCATCTGCACTAGAAACTGACATGTCAACCTGAAATTGAGCAGCACACCGTCGATCCAATCAATTGACGGGAAAATCTTAATTGAATAATTAAACGAGAACTGTCATGTTATTTAAGTTGACGGTTACTGACAGTAGCGTCGAGGATTTTTATTTCGTCCTGTTTTGTGGAGATAACATTGACTTTTATTATTAACTTTGTTGCATGTTATTATGAAATAATCAACTATGACAAACCTGACTACATTATTCACAGAGAACTGTGTAATGTTCTCAAGCATACTTATCGCTGATTATTCGACATCATAAATTGACAGGATCTAAGTTATAGGCGCTATTTGATCCTTATCCGCTAGCTTTTTCTGTAACACACATGTCATCATCTCTCGTGGGATCATTTGTGTGCTGTGTTGAATAAATTTCAATTTAGAAAAGTAATGCCATACTTTATCTACCTCAATTTTCATTTCATCAATAGGTTGATTAATGCTGAGGATGTTAGTTCAAGTCTTCGAAGTGAATTAAATTCAAAGCTGAAAGAAATCAAAGAATTACAGACTGCTGTGATTGAATTAGGCCGAGAAAATCAAACTCTTCAGGTAAGTTGTATAGAGTTAAGACATTTTGACATCATCATCATTGTGTTGACAGGTTTTACGAGAACGCCTAACAAATCGTCAATGGACTAAAGATGATGAAGCTATGACGTGTTTTGGTTGTGATCGAGAATTCTCTATCAGTACAAGAAGGGTATGATAAATATTTCATAGTGTAATTTTGCGTTTTCTTTTTTTATAAAGATTGTGTATGTATTTGAATTTATTCAGATTCCTAATTCATTTGAAGTGAAAGTTACGCGTGGTCTTTTTATGATTATTATTATTATTTAATTCCCAGAGGAACATAGGGCTTCAGATGCACGTCTCTATTGCGTTCGGTTCTCTGCCGACGTTTTCATCAACTGGCTCCATGTCTCCGCATATGCTTTCATATCCTCTTCGCATGACCTCCTCCATGTCATCCTTGCACTGACGACCAACTCGTTGTTTTCCTTTCTGGTTCCACTAGAGCGATGGCCTGGCGTGTGATGGATATTATATTTGTTGCACATTTGGTTCCTACTGAGTGGGTTGCTGATTTTTTTTCTAGCCATCTGATCTTGAGTGTTATTGAGTGAAGACAGCTGTTGATGAAGGTCTGTAGCTTGTTCGAAGTGTCCTTCGTGATGCGGCGCGGTGCCAAGTCTCTGATTCGTATAGAGTAGCACTGACTTCACATTGGAGTTGAAAATCCGCATCTTATTTTCATTTTCATGCTGAGTTCTGTTAATCTCCACACGGACTTGAGAGTAATGAGTTTGTCTTGCTTTCTTGATCCTGTCTAGAATATGGTACTTTATTAAACGTGAAATAATCAGATTTAATATACAGACCTCAAATTGTGAGATGTCTGTGGCTGCATACTGTTAGAAGTACAGTTAGTGTGCGTCAATAAGAAAAACAGCAGAGCTGTATCAAAGGCAGTCCACGTGTAGAGTTGAACAGCGCGCGAATACCAGACACTGAATAAAGTGACATGAGTAAACAATTTTCAACAGTGAATGGTATATAAATAAGGCACATACAGCAGATAGTTTTCAACTAAACGTCTAATAGGATATTATTGCATTAAGTTAGTTAAGCTTCATTGGTAAACAAAGTCATGGTTAAGTAAGTAGTGACAACGTATAACGTATACTGTAACGGTAGAAGACAAGAAATATGGTAAGGTAATATTTATTTGGGATTTGGTACTGTTATAAAGCGAACACTATGCATCACCTTATCTTCAACGCGCCGTTTGCAAAGATCTCACGTGTTGTGCTACTTCTGGCCTTTCTTCATGTTTTGTTCCTTTCACGTCTCCGATCTATCTTCACTACGCTGTATCATTTGCTTTCTATGACATCAAATCTATCTTCCTACTATTTGATGGTTTATTGCGATGAATATCTGCTTATAAACTACTGATAAGATTTATCAATAGTACACGTCACACTCGTCCCCCTATCAAACAGTTTGTAATGGAGCCGCCCCGACCTTCTTGGTGTTACTCCTTCCTCTTGTACCTTGGTCTCGGCTTCCTTATCCCACTAAATCCATTTCTGCAGTTTTTTGATGTTAACCAGTTTCCGCTTATTTTCTCTTTTGATGGTATATACGGGACCTCGTCTCTCGGTGATAGTGTGTGACTCTTCCTACTTTGGTTGGCGTTTCCATGATCCTGGCCCACAGATGACCGCCTACTTTCTTTCTCTACACTTTACTTAGTCGCTGACCCCAACGGTTATGCATTCCATCTTTCCTCCCTGTTCTGATTTCACGGCGTCTTTTCTCTTTCTGAAGGCGTTTTGCCGTTGCGTTGAACACAGCCTCGTCATATTCCATTCCTGGTGGAGGGACCAGGTTGTGCTGAGTATTATTAGTCGTGGTTTCCTCTCATACATCAAGTGAGATGGTGACTTCTTTGTTGTTTCCTGGGTGGATGCACGATGTGCTAGCTGAATCAATGGAAGCTGTGCCTCCCAGGTGCCAGCAGCACACGCCACAGTACTACTACTTATTAGTGGTAAGTAGTGTGGAGTTGAGTAAAGAGGAATAACAAAGGACAGATAAGAAAAAGGAATCAACAGTTTCATATTTTCCTTCAGTCAATGTCGCTTATTTTCGTTTGGAGAATGTAAGGAAGTGGGGTCGCTGTGATCCTTGTGTACTGTCCGGGCCTCGCGGTTCAACTGCCAAGTTACACGACCGTGTTATTTGTGTCAGCACTTTTTTCTCATTATTTTTTTGATGTCTACATATGACACACACACTCATTCGTTTCTAATCTGTTTTTCGCCTTTCAGCATCATTGCAGAAACTGTGGCGGCATATTCTGTCAGAATTGTTCATCTAATCGTGCTGCTACAACATTTAGTAAAGATCCAGTTCGTGTATGTCAGGCTTGTTATAAAGAGTTGACTGGTAATTTGTGATATAGTAAAACTAACCAGTGTCTAGTCTAGTCCACTCAAGTCGAGTCTTTCTAAGTTTATCTGCTGAGAATTTAACTTCTGTGTAAATAATATGTGTTGTTATTATATTATGCACAAAATGCATTTCAATCTGTCTGTCTGTCTGTCTCTCTCTCTGCTTTCACTTTACCAATCATGTGTTCTTTTCGCGGCGATGCTGCGATTAGCAATTTGATTTTATCCTCAATTATGAGCAATAATAATAATAATAATATGCTTCATGAATACGACACTGTCTTCAACACCAAGTCAAATGCGTCTACTTTTAATAATTTCATATAGTACTACCCTATTATCAGTTGAACAGAATTAGCTACTTTTATTACACAAGAGAGATATATATGGCTTAATCATACATATTGAGTACTTTAACAGCATATTATGCTTTCTTTTAAAAGCCTTCTGATGATCTCGTTTTCTTCTTTCTTTCTTTCTTTTTTTTTATCAAGTATGTGATTCTATCTTTCTGTTTATCAAACTAATAATAAAGCGTTGAATTCCCGATCATTGTATTTATTGATCTCGTTGAATAATGCTAAAGTGAAGATCTGCTGATTAACACTACTTTAGAGGTTGACGTTCACGGATAGTACGATGTATACTAACACAGGGGGGGGGGGGCGGGGGTGGTGAGTTGTAGCGGTAGTTAATTCCCCAGAATTATTGGCCACAGCATTCATCACTGAACATTGTATGTTGACCCTCACTGTTTTAGTCGATTTGTTTAGCTGAAAGCTTCCGGTCAAGCATCCACGCCATTTGGCCGCAGTCGTGTTACGTTCGTTCGTGCATATATTATTTTGTACTGATTTCTGGTTCTACCTGATGAGATGCAGGGAGAGAGTTGGGAATAGAGGGGGTGTTGGGGGTCGGAGAGTATGGTTTTAGACCATTTTTTGCATATATTCAGATGCCTTTCTACTAATGTAGTGACGAGCTGACTGAGTTTTACACCCCTAGTCCTACTAACTACCTTCAACATCCTTCTCAGGATGATATAGTCCTTTTTCAGTAGCCCAGGAAAGACTAACGGGGAGAAGTAAAGTAGAATAGGTAAGATACGAGAGTTGACAAATTGTGGAAGCAGAGGTTGAGGGACTCCAGTTAGTCTGAGTTTCTTAATGTAGTATGTTAGACGAAACACTTTCTTGGAAATCATTAGGATATGCGATGACCAAGTAAGGTCGGAAGATAGAACTAATCCGAGGTATTTTGCATTAGACGTAGTTTCAGTTTTAGTCCCCTCAATGCTAAATGCTTCGTGAATGCTTACTAGTGTTTGTAGATCTCGTTTATGCCTAAAGGAGAAGTCAATAGTCTGGCATTTTGAGGGATTCAGCATGAGGCCATTTAGTTTAGATCACTGACTGATGTCCGACAGGAAGCTATTCAATTTGAAACAGTCTGACTGAGACTTAACGGGAAGCGAAACAGTCAGGTCATCTGCATATTTGACGAAGTTGATTTCGTCTGAAAGAGGCAAGTCATGTAAGGAGAAGGAAAAGAGAACAGCACCCTGAGTAACTCCAGCTTCAGTAAGCAAAGGAGAGGAAGATACACCATTAAAAAGCAACAAACACAATCCCCTGTAAATCTGGTGACTAATTTTACGTCTTTGATTGCTACATCAAGCAATATACTCTCTACAAACGGTTATAGTAAGCCACATAACTCACTCGTATGCCATGAGCGTTGCGCTGGAATTGAGAATAACAACTGTACTGACAGCTAGTATTAGCACTACTCCTATAAATTCAGTACCCTTTTGGAGTACGCAACAATATGATCGTACACTTTTTGTTAGATTTTGATATTAGAGACATTGTACACGATATTTTTTTTAAGCGATTCATGTTTAAATACATATAACTTTCGAGTACAATTTGAAATAAACTATATTGTTGGTAGCCCTAGGTGTGGTGAGAACTGGCTGTTAACCAAAATTGGTGGACAGTAATTTACGTCAGTGTTTACATCCCCAATATTGGTCGTGAGAAAAATGAGAACGAAGGCTTTGCGTAGGCGGATACAGTTAGCATATAGATGATCTGACATTCAAGAAACAGTCACAAAAAGGTTAACTTTCTCTGAGGAACAACCAATCAGTGGACTGTGTTTTTCTGCTAACAATAATCTATAATCATGTACATGAAAATCTATAAATATGTGTTGATTTCCTTAATAAAGGATCTGTTGCCTGGCCCTTGTCTTTTGTTGTTATATAAGCAGAGGATAGAGGCACAAATCAGCTGACCGCTACAGATTTAAGGTGTTGTTGTGTCTCGGCTATTCTACGTTGTTTTCAATGGATATTTTCGACAGAAATACGTTTCAAATACTGTCTATAGTTTGGTTTGTTAGGGTTCGTTATATTTTACGAGTTGATCGCGGATTGATATCAGTTAGAGAACCATTGGAAAACCTGGGAGTACTGGACAGCTGCTTTTTAATCCTAGTTATGGAATCATCGGCAGTACGCACCCACTGGGATTCGAACCCAGGACCTTCTGGTCACAAGGCAAGCTCGTATACCATTCAGCCACTGGGACCCGATTCAATAGCTCATGAATTCTAACTTCTACCAATTCGTGATTTAGCGCGACCCCAACCATTGTCGTTGGTGGGACATCCATCCACACACATGACATCTAATTGGACCTCACTGGTTACGACTTCTCACTAGAACTCAGGAAACTCCAACCTGTAGCAAGTCACTAGCGAGCATCAGATTAACTTTCTATAGTTTGGTTTGTAGGGGTTAGTTATGTTTTACGAGTTGATCACGGATTGATATCAGTTAGAGAACCATTGAAAACCAGGGAGTACTGGACAGCTGCTGTTTCATCCTAGTTTGGGAATGATCGGCAGTACTCTATTTTAGCGAGAAAAAAACGTGTAAAAAGTGAGAAAAATAGTCGCTTTTTCTCAGTGTGTTTACAAAATACTGTCTTTTCATCAAATTGACATGTTCGAGGTGTATAAGAAGTGTTAGTTAGAATTCGTTGGAAAATGTCAATTATGATGGGAAATGCTAAAAATAATTCCAATTTTTGTAGTGCATTTTACGTAAATGATGAGGGCGGGGGGGATGTTAGATAACGAGGTGATTATGAATTTTTGATCTTTACCGAATTTTACAGTAAGAAAGGAAACTGAATTGGTTATTTCGTCAGATATAACGGTGAAGAGACAGTCATTTAACTGGTAGGTACTGCTGTTTTAAGTTTTTTTATATTTATATTATTATGTTATTATTCTTATATCCTTTAATTCCTAGAGGAACATAGGGCTTCGGTTGCGCGTCTCCATTGAGTTCGGTTCTCTGCCAACGTTTTCACCCAGCTCCAAGTCTGCCCACATGCTTTCATCTCCTCTTCACATGACCTCCTCCAAGTCACCCTTGCACTTACGACCAACTCGCCGCTTCCCTTTCGGCTTCCACTCGAGCAATGGCTTGCCTAGTGATGTCACTTTATGGTTTCCTCAGCGTATGGCCAATCCATCTCCATTTCTTCCTGCCTATTTGTTTCGCAATCGGTTCCTGGTTGGTTCGCTCACTGTGAGAAATCGCTGTTGCTGATCTTTTCTGGCCATCTGATCTTGAGTATTGAGCGAAGAGAACTGTTAATGAAGGTCTGAAGTTTGTTGGAGATGCTTTTTATGACGCGCCAAGTCTCTGATCCGTAAAGTAGCACTGACTTCACATTGGAGTTGAAAATCCGGATGTTATTTTTGATTCTGAGTGATGTTGACCTCCACACAGACTTAAGGGTAATGAAAGCCTGTCTTGCTTTTCCGATTCTGGCTTTGATATCCTCGTCAGTTCCGCCTGTAGTTGAAACTATGCTTCCCAGGTAGGTGAAGGAGGTTGTTTCTTTCAGGTTCCTCCCATATATTGTTGTCTGTTTTCACTTGCATATCTTCCAGTTTATGGGAAATCAGACATATATCATCGGCGAAATCTAGGTCCTCCAAGTCTTTTGTGTCAGTCCATTTTATGCCTGTTCCCTCGTTGGTTGCCGTTGTCTGTCGCATTATCCAGTCTACTGCAATCAGGAAGATCATTGGCGATAATAGACAGCCTTGCCTCACTCCCGTCCTCACTTTGAAGGCTTCCGTAATTTTCCCGTTGTGGATTACTTGGCATGCAGCATTGTCGTATAACTGTTGGATGAGATGTATAATTGTCGATGGGACCCCGTAGTAGCGAAGCAGTTGCCAAACCACCTCTCGATCGACACTGTCGAAGGCCTTTTCAAAGTCGATGAAGTTGAGATATAGAGGTGACTGCCATTCCAAGCTTTGCTCAATGATGATCCGTAGAGTGGCGATTTGATCAATACATGACTTGTTTCTCCTGAATCCATTCATCATTTTCTGACTGAATTTTTATTATTTTTAATTTCCAGATTATGGTCTTCAATTCCGCGATCACTCAATTATTTATTTATTTAAACGCATAAAAACTTGGTACAATATGGCACCAAGGAGGATGCGCCACACAATAATAATAAAACAACATAGATCAAAAGAAAGAATATATATATATCAGTAGAGAACGGATAAAGAACTTCATCTTGAAGGAAAACAGTCATACTTAACAAGTTCAAACACTATTCGTTAACTATCATCGGGAAGGGAAGAAAGAAGGAAATTGCAACACGTGTAATAGCACGCGATAAGTTTCATTGATTGTTTGTTGCTTTATTCAATTCATTGTGTGAGGGCTGAGATACTACCCGGGCGCCCAGACCAAAGCAGGTGGTTTTATTAAGGGACCACCCCTCCGGGAGCCTTTGACTTGGAGTCTAATCCGAAAGGCAGCGGAGCTGCTGCATTCCCATGATTCCCGGTGACCCATATGGGTTCATACGCCATTTGATCCGACTGGATACTGGAGCCCATGTACCCCATGGTAACTGCTTTTAGTTTAACCGCTATCCAAACAACCTTCCTGACATGGTAGGACCTGCAGGGACAGAGTCCCAATCAGTTTAGCATGTTGGGTCATTACGGTATTCAAGCCCGACCACCACGACAAGGTAGCAGTTATCGGTCGGGAATCACTCAATATATTTTGCACTCCATTCATGCACGATGAATACTTACTGTTTGTCGAGTCACAAAGTGATGCCAATGTAGAAGACATAATATTCGTAAAATGTCATATTTATAACACACATGGTTGAATTTGGTCATGATGGGGGTACTGTTATCGCTTCTGAGTAATTGCTTCCGCGATATGCACAACAAAAAGCTTATCTAACGAGTTGCAGTAACATAATAATCAATGAAGTTGAGTGACGTGATCAACTAATACACAAGTCTAAGCGTTGATGTGATCATATAATACGAAATGATAACACAAGAGTGATTCATGCATTTCTTTATTATCTGACGATTTCCTTTAAGATAGTGGTGTTAAACGCAATATGAGAATAATAGACTATTCGTGATAAACAGGATATACGTTGACATAGTGTACTTGAACTGCCTAGACTACCAATACCAAAGTGGTGTACGCAAAGCACCTACGCTTGCTAGGTTATTACAGAACGGAAACATGTTCAGCGGCTATTTTCTTAACAATCCAGAGTACTAGTAGTATACGCAACCAGATCAAACGTAACGCAAGGCTTAACGATACATTGAAGAAAAAATAA